GTAAAAACAGTCAAAAAAATCGAGACGAATATCAACAAAAGATGAATAAAAAATAGAGAACACTCATATCTAAATGCTTTGCAAAACTGGAAATACGAGCACAGGAGAACAGAGAACCAAAGTGCTTTAGCTTAGAAAGGATTTTTTGCAGATATGCACCCAGCAAATATCAGCTTTCTGGGTGCATATCTATTAAGAAAGGTTTAAGATTTTTTTCTTTGATCAGTGAATTCTCTTCAAAGCTGAAGTTTCAGAGGCAACTGCTACTTTGTGCCTTATCTGATCTCCTCCTGCTCTTGGACATATTCCACTGAAATGATTTCCTAAAACATAATTCACTTTTAAATTAGATACAAATATATTAGATCGCTGCTTTCCTTCTTGGAGGTATATACAATGCTTGGCAGACAAAATAATTTTATCATGATATCTACATTCTGGGAACTAGCAAAAGCCTCTGCTTCTGAAGGTCTTGAAATTAATTTATTTGTTAAAAATAGTTAAAACCCTCTTCTCATATTTGATATTGTAAAGAGCAAAGGATAAATTCCTGTCTTCTTCATAGAAACAAAGTTGGCAGAGCAAAGATTTCACCCCAAAAATCTTTATGTAAGCTGTAAACAATGAAATTTGGCCAATCCTTTCAGCTGCAAGATGAGGGGAAAAAGAACAAAATAAAATAAAAAATAAGGCAATATGTGGTGACAATATAAAAATTACTATTTAATTGAAATTGTCCAAATTCCCAACATTTTTTTTTAAATGGCTCACTTCCATTTCGAGCTGAGGACTACAGTGAAGACTGAGAAGATCTAATATGATGCCGATTGCTGTGAAAACATAGGAGCAGTTCCTAAGTCTTTCGGTTGACCTCTTATCCTTTGTTAGCCTGACCAATTTTAATGACTCAAAACCAATTCTGCTTCAGATAAAATCCTAAGGTACAAACATACACACACAAGCAAACATATATCCTCTTGCATAGAGAGAAGGTTGCAGATCTTTAAGGAATGCCCTTCCTCATGACTGCTCTCCTCTGAAAAGAGAAAGCACCATCCCTTGAGGATGCATCTTTATGTCTGCCATGACATAGCTGTTAGAGAGACACGCAGCAACCCCAGGGCTAGAAACATGGGAGAATCCAAACACCAAAGTCACTAGGAGCATGGAATTCTGGCAACCCCCCTACTTGTTAGTCATTTATTGTTTTCTTAATGAACCTACCTCATTAATGATGAGACGGCTTGCCATCCGCATTCTGGTGCGTGGTCCAAACTTATTTGTAATCATTATCCGTAACCCAGCTTCGGGGAACCGGAATTTGGGGGGACTGGAGCAGATGATCTCATCCACCATGACCACACTGTTTTTGCCGTACTGCTGCACCCCCTTCACTAATGAGCACAACGGCCAAGGTTAGTTGTGGAACTGATCTTACCACACTCCCCTCACCCAGAGCCATTGTCCTTCTCCTCAGATGTGTATGTGGGTGTCACACTCACCTGAATGCCTGAATTTACCAGTGGCTTTCATGTAATATTTCTGCAGTCTGATGAATCTCTTCCTCTGTGGGCACCTCATTTAAGTCATGTGCTGAAAGGGGCTTTCACTCCAATAAGGCAACCATCTTCAATTCACTCTCCAATGAACAGGAGTAGTTTTCACCCAGCCACTCATGCTGTAGTACCAGTTTTCTTTGTCTATGCTCCACTATGTTTTTTTTTTAAACTATCTCTAAAAGCACTGGCACCAAGGCAGTATAGACAGCCCCTCTGAGACCCATAAAGCTATCCCATTGGATCAAGATGCTTAACAACTACTACTGCACATCCAGAAATCTCTAATGTAATGTTCACTCACTTGAAAATCACTTTACTTTCTCAGAATATTATCAGTATCTGTAGCATGACAAGATCTGAAACTATGGAAAATAGTAACTGTCCAAAACAAATGTGTGTTACAAATAAGCCTTTGCTACTATGAAGGAACTTGTACCAAGGTGGGAGTTTGGGGGTTTGCTTTTTTTTCTATCATGCTAAGAAAACAAACAGCGAGACAAAATCATATTGGGAATCAACATAAATACAAGCAAGGACTTCCAAAATTGAACAGCATACCGATATTCTCACAAGCGCTACAGACTACACACAGCAAGCAGAGCAAGGCTCAGCAGACAGGGACGTATCCATGTAGTGTTAGAAAGCAGAGCAGGAGATATACATATGACTGTTATAAATATTATTACATGTAATTACATGTAAGGAAACAAAACAACAGAATTCTTTGTGCCTTGTGTTACTGCTTTGCTTAGCTTGGCCTTACCCTCCCGCCCACCTTTTGCAGTGACTTACTTACATTAAGAAGAAGAAGAGAATTTAGGAGGTAGAGGTAAAAGATAATTATTAGTGCATGGTTCCCATCAGGAAGCAAAGGAAATCTAAGGAAACATTCAACTAAAACAAAGGAATTAAAATGGACCTGTCCTAAACATACAGAAGTCTATACAGCTATTGTTTACACTGTTAAAAGTGATGAAATATTTTTCATTTTCAGGAAGACGTCCGGATCCATGCAAGTATGTAAATCACATCATCCCTCGAATAAGGCTTTGCTATCTCAAGCAAGTCTTAATATATTTGCTTTGAAGTTGGAGAAAAAGATCCTTTCAACATCATTCAGCAGCAAAAACCTACCGAAAGTGTAAATCACCACAATGCTGCTGTATCTTTTACTCTCTTGCATTCAAACATCTTGTTTTGTTTCACTAAAATATTTTTTTCAGTGAGCACACTGGGGTTACCCAAGGTGTCATAAACAGCTCTTTAGTTTCTCAGAGATTTGTACCACTCCAAAAGAATCATCCTTAATAGTTTTCCCTCGCAGCCTAATCTCTAATGGAAAATAGACCTAGTAGTAATTTTCTATTTAGTAAACATAAAGGAGCAATTATCCTCCCACCTCTGACATCTAAAACAAATTAACCTTGCTGAGCAGTGCAGCTGATGATGCAAATGAGGCACACAGCCATTCTGATGACTCTTGCAGCTAAAGTGAAGCAGCTTTTCCTGTGAAGGAACATAGAACCAGACAGGCTAGCCTAAGAAAACCAGAAGCCTTATATAAGGGGACCATGGCAGCCTGACATTTGTTTTAGTTAGACAAGGAAAATGGAATGTTTGACAGCCATCCTTGTAAGGAACAAAATGCGAGATATCCTTGGTTGGACAGTCTCATCTGGTTAGTTGCTCTCAGGTGAATTTCTCAGTGAAGTCTCCAAATTGCTTCTTTATCTTCTTTTATCTTACAATAAAAAGCTTCTTAATGACTTTATTTATGAATCTGAATCAGGCCTCCACACATTTACATCACATTCTATTCAGAAACCCACTTTTGACTAGAGTTCTCTCCCCTGTGAGTAATTTGGGTCAATACAATAAAAGCCAAGGGCAATGAGCCACAGTGGTTGTTTATTAAAAAATAGAAATATATATATTTTTAATTATAAGCAATATTCAAAAAAGTAAAATCTTTTGCCTTCACTGTATATTCACTGAAACTATCTCATGGAGAAAAGTTCTGCTATGACCCTCCGAAATTCCAGTATTGGAAACTTTTATGTTTTACCATTGGAAATCCTTGAAAGTAATAAAACTTAAGAAGATCAAAGAGAGTTGTGTAGTGTGTGAGGTGCTTAAGGTGTAGTTATCTACACCTTAAGCAACAGATTAACCATCTTCAGTGGAAAGAAAGCTCCTCACCCAAAGCAGCTCTTTTTGAGGAAAAGCTTTGCCTCTGTGGAGAACCATATTAAGGTTATACCTGCAGCATGGCAAACCCAAGGGAGGGAATTCACTGGATGCTGGAACTTGCTAACTGCTGGTTTCAGGTTAGGCAGAGGCAAGCTGTAGTTGTCTCGCTGCTGCTAGCAGTGCTTCTGTTCCTAAAAGATGCCTCAGAGTTCAGCTTGTGAAGTCCAGCATCCACCAACAAAGAAGAATCTGACTGAAGCTGCAGTCTCATGGCAATCCTAAGGCAAACTGAGATGAAGTTTGCTGCGGATAGTGCCTAGTGGAGATACCATTCTTGTGAGTCCCAGCTTGCATTATCTTTCTGCTGCTTTTGCTGAAACTTCTGCATATTGTTTACATGCTTTAAATAATCTTTAGGTTTCCTGAGAAGATGAACAGAAGGTGGACACAGTGCTTCTGTTCCTAAAAGATGCCTCTGAGGAGGGTGGAGTTCAGCTTGTGAAGTCCAGCATCCACCAACAAAGAAGAATCTGACTGAAGCTGCAGTCTCATGGCAATCCTAAGGCAAACTGAGATGAAGTTTGCTGCGGATAGTGCCTAGTGGAGATACCATTCTTGTGAGTCCCAGCTTGCATTATCTTTCTGCTGCTTTTGCTGAAACTTCTGCATATTGTTTACATGCTTTAAATAATCTTTAGGTTTCCTGAGAAGATGAACAGAAGGTGGACAGGCAAACACTCTGTGCTATCACCCCTCCATCACACAGTAGCTAGAGAGGATGAAGGTTGCATCTTAACATTAAACTTAAGAGGAATCTTAAGATGAATCTAGAAAGAATGAATCTTAAGAGTATATGACCTACAAGTGTAAGAATGGAGATGACATCAGAACTGCACCAAGGACTCAAAAGTAAAAGCCACCTGTATTTGTTTTCTGTTATCCATTTCCTGTGCACCACTGGAATAGACCAGTAACAACTTCCCTAAGAAATACTCTCTAAATCTCATACAAATGCAATGCACCCCCATGTCCAACTAATGGACTGTACTATATGATAGTCAATGCTAATTGTAAAAACAGATGAAAATATTTCAAAGGCATCCTATTTATACTATGATGTTTTAGGAGAAGTATTTTAATATCAATATTAAAATATTGTCTAAACATTACACCCAACACATGAGTATCAGTGTGCTGTCATTATATAAACCTACAGTAAACTCTGAAGGTATCAAAGATAAGAAGGGGGATAAGACTGAGATAAAAGGAAGCTTACAAAAAAAAAAAAAAGGTATGCTTGCTCATATTGAACCTGAAGCTGGGTGTCAACTTCTTTGCCTTTATGAGAGAGGCTCAGACTGCAAAGAACCCACACTTCCTGACTTCCTGCATGTATCTAGAAACGTATACTCAGAAATTCAGAAATGTGAAGGGCAAGCTTCCCAGGATCTGAACTCAACACGTGACTCCCCCTTGCTCACTGATGCCTATGTCTTTCCCTCAACATTCACATCTTGGTTTCTATATCAGGCATAATCAGTTTTTGGAAGTGAAGATTACCTTCTTCCTGGCAAAAGAAAAATATTTCTTTCACAGTGTTGTAGCTCCTCACTGAACATCAAAGAAAAAGGAAGCAAAACTGCTGATTTACAAAGCAGGTTGGTTTTCTTTTGTGTTTGTTTGTTTTTATTATTTTTTTTCAGTGGCTTTACTGCTGAATTTTGGAGTTAATTGAATATAAATTTCTCTTTAAGACTGAATAGTGACAACATTTTCACCAGCACTAAAGAAAAGAAAAAGGATATTGTGAACTACTCTTTCAAAGTCCTGTCTGCTCAGCCTTACCTTTCCATAGCAATGGAATGGATGGGTCATCACAACTAGGGGCATAATATTTATTACCATCTTCCAGTTCATTGTTGACTGTGTCCCCATTTCCAACATTCTTGCTGTTGATCGTGAAGAAATTTTGTATCCTCACATTGTACCTGAAAGTACAAAGGGAAGGTCTGAAAAGGCTGAAGTATATTGCATTTGCCTTTCAAATTCTCAGACCTCTGAGAACAATTTATGCAGACTAGCACAGTCTGGATATATGTTCTCTGACAGCTAATAAGTTAAGACAAAGAAGAAAATCAATGGCAAGACAAACACTACTACAAAAAGATATTATTTTAATATATTCTGTGAAGAACATTGAGTTCTGGAGGAAATACTGCATGTAGGAATGTGAAGTCTTGCAGGCTTTCCCACTGTGCTAAAGAAAATTGACTACAAAGCACACAACACACACAGAGTCCTTGAGACAAGCTGTTGCCATCCTGTAGTGCCTATTTTGGAAAGTTCCACTATATCTGTGAGGTTCTCTTGGAACCAAAGATTTATCTTTGTTCTGTTTCTTGAAAGAATATACACCTAAGAAATTTACCACAAATCTATATAAAGAGTTATATCAAAAAAAAAATACCAGAACAAGATACAAAACTGCTATTCTCTCTGTTCCCCATACTGGGTGTTTTTTTACATTTCTGACCGTATGGATCCTTCTCTTCTAGTGAAAAGATGCACTATTTAGCCATAGGGTGCAACCTCGCAGTGCTGTCAATGAGCTCTGCTAAGCCTGATGTAGGAGAAAAAAGAAGGCTGAAGTCCCCCAAAAGTATTCATGGCTTAGCACTTCTCTCCTCACTAGAATGTTGTAATGCAACTATGGTATCAAGATATGGCCAGAGGAGGAAGTTACCATCAGCTAAGTTTAAGCATAAACTTAGAAAATACACAGCAGCTTGCCCCTCAGAGACAGAGAAATAAAACGCATTTTACCACCCCATGAGCATGTGCATAGGCAGTTGATGCTCCATAGCTGACAGGCTGTGAGCTTAAACATCAGAGAATGCAGTGGAGTTTTTAACGTGTATTTGTACAACAGCATTTGCTCTCAATTATCTCTGAAACCTACTTTACCCCTGAAGGTAATCCGAAGATTTGCTCTTGACTGAGCACATACCTAGAGCAAAACTGATTATGCATGAAAATGCAAGGAATCCTGAACAGCAACAAGACTGGCTGCATTGTCCTCAGGCAGGACCAAGGACAAAATCACACCAAAAACAGGATAGCCAATTAACAGCTAAAGGGCATGGAAAGGGGAAGAGCACTTACTTCATGGTGAGTATGTAGAATGAATACATAATGATGAGTACAAGGCTTTCCCACCTCAAAGAGACAAAAGGAAAAGTGTTAAACAGCCATTCCAACAGCTCTATCCTTTACAAGTTTTCAGTAAGAATGTGCACTAAACATCTAGTCCAATTCACATTCGTGCACAAATGATTCACATTATTTAAGATTCTATGGGGGTCTCAGCAGAAAGGGGAAGCAAAGACTTTCAAGTTCCAATAAACATGCAATCACATGTAATACACGTAGCCCAGCAATTTGCTCCACAGACTGAAGCCAGGGCTGCCCTCTGAGGCATCCTGGCAGCTCAGTGCTGAGCCACAGGGCAGGCACTCTGAGGGGGCTCTTTTGGAGGATCCATATGACATACAACTAGGATCCCAGCTTTCCCAGAGAGACCACTCTCTAGGAAACCCAGCACCCCATACATTGTTCTCAGCTAGAGCAAGAACAGCAGAACATGTTACCTTTTCTGCACACGTGAGAGCCTTTCGAGCTTATGTACTTTGTTAATTAATTTTTATTTTAGTTTTCCCTGTCCATCATAAAATATATATATAACTAAAGCAAACAAACAATATTTCCTACATGTCAATTCCAGCTCTTATTCAAAGGGTACAACGACAAAATCTACTTACACTAACTCTATTTACTGATCTCTCAGGGCAAATATAGGGTTGCAGGGAACAACTTAAATAACTTACCATACTATTTTCTCATCATATATGAACTATAAGGGGGAAAAAAAAAGAAATCATAAATTGACAGTTTTTGATATCTATCTTCTAATTTGAAAAATGGTCAAATTTACTGAATATCTGTCATATCTAACCAGAAACTACTGGAGCCCCCTTTTGACCCACTCTAACTCACAACTACCACTGTTTGGACTGTGCCCTTTATAGCGCCAAAGCACGAATCTTGCACACAAGGCCCAGATCCTTCTCAGTGATTTTATCAATATTATTTACTGAAACAGTGTGATTGTGTGAAAGACAGATAGATGTGCACACCCACACACACGCAGGCATACTGTGCAACTCTAAAAGATAGTGAAATTGCATGTATTTAGGAGGGACTTAAGACATAAAGCACTGAATCCTTTCATAGCTAATCTAGTTTTAGCAGAACGGGCGGATGTTTCACCTCTGCTCTTAGGCCAGCTGATTATACATAACTTACTCCATCCTATGTAACACATGGAATTGAATGGTCAGCTAGTCTTTCACACCTGTTACAAACCAAACTAAGCACACTCTGCCCTCTCCCAGTCACAATGTGCATATTTACAGGAACTACTACACTGCTGTACATGAACAGAACATGCTCTGTTAATCTATTGTGATTTATTTATTAAAATTTACCCACATGGGCAGGTTGACAAGAATCTGTATAATAAAACTAATGTGTAGGAGCAAGAAATAGATATCTTCCCTATTTAAAATGGAGGCACAACTCAAAAACTTTCTGCCACGAGCAGTCCCCCTTGTGTCAAAACTGTTTTGACTGCACTGTATAATAGAATCATAGAATGCTTAAGGTTGGAAGGGACCTCTAGAGGTCATCTAGTCCAACGCCCTGCACACGCAGGGTCACCTAGAGCACGTGGCACAGGACTGCGTCCAAGCGGGTTTTGAAGATCTCCAGAGAAGGAGACTCCACAACCTCTCTGGGCAGCCTGTTCTAGTGCTCTGTCACCCTCACTGTTAAGAAATTTTTCCTGTGGTATACCACCAGCCTGTTAGTCTGCAGAATGTTGCAGGCTGTAGGTACAAAATGAATATATGATAGACATACTGCGTGGCACTACACAAAGCTTTCACTTGTGGAGCAGGTTGTGGAGTCATCTTGCTGAGCACTCACTTCTGGATGTCACCAGAACTAGTTATGAAAGTAAGTTGTTTATTAATGGAAATCAGTCTGTTAGCAGACTGAAAACGTGGAGTCAAGCAACAAAACACATCGATTGGCAAGGGAACTACTTACAACTATAAGTATGATCACAGATAATGTGTAGTACATAGAGTCCCTGAACACAGCCCACCAGGTGAGATTAACCACCTGAAAAAAAGCAAACAAAAAAACCCTATTTTTAGACAACAAAGAAAAGAAAGATTCTAAAACAAAGGCCTCCATTTTGTAGCCTCTTAGATGTGTGAGCAGAATCATTATCAGCAGTGATTCTGGAATAAATAGCTGTCCTGGGGAAAGAAGAAGACAGTCTGTCAGTCTAGAACCAAGAAGAAGTATCATTCTGTCAGACAATTAATCTGTAATAAAGTTTAATAAAAAATAATCTAGAAACTTTCATTAATGAAAGACATTTCTTGCTAATGCAATTTTAATGGGCCATAATTTCAATTACAAAGTACAATTCACTGCAGTGCCACAAAAGCCAGTGCCAGCACAATTCCCACTTCGTTGTGGGAATTATCAGTATATGTGAAAAAATATGACATATAATCTAACCTCCTATGAAGGAAATGAAGCAAATCTTACACTTGAGTCCTCGAATGATCACCATTGGGACCAGAATGATCACCATTGGGACCAGAAAGGATTAAGCGATGTGGCTATTTGACTATAGGCATATTATTGTATGAAGAGGAATCATTTTCTTCTGGATAGTATACGTTCCAAGTGCTGAAATTAAGAGTTAAACTTTGGGGAAACATTTGCTATTTGAAAAGCTTTTGCAAATTCTTTTCTACATGGGCACTACCTCCATGTCAACGCTTTTTATTGTTTGTTTTTCAGTAGTGCTCCATCTTTTATATACATTTGCTCAGGCAAAACCCATTAACAGAAGCAATTGAACTCCATAAAATAGGTAACTTACTAACCTGTCCCGCAAATATTCCACAGACACCAATGATGCAGAGAATGTTGATTTTTAACCCCCAATGGTTCCTACTCCTACATCTCCATGAGTGATAAATACACCTGCAGAGGGAGCAAAGTACGCATTATTATCTCTATGATTTCATTTTAGGCTGTCAGATTACAGTAGCAACAGTAACAAAGACTACTTGAAAGTTTATTCAAAACATGTTTCATAATAAATGCTCACTTCTCTATGGAGTATTTTGTGCTTTTAGGCTAACTAATGGCTCCACATATTTGGCTTAACATCTCTACATATATATGCTTTTTTTAAGTGGATACATTTTCTAAAATAGTAAGTCCTGTATTTGACAGCTTAGCTGTTACTGGTGTAGTAATCCATTACAGTAAACATAAAACAATCCTACCCCATTAAGAACATGGAATATAACTCCATGCACACAAACCTTTCTTCCAGGCATTTAATATTTTCTGTGCTCTTTTTTTAGCTCGCTCAGTGGTAAGAGATTCTTCCCTCAAAAAAATAGCAGCTATGTGGGTGTAGTAGTGTGTGCCTTCTGATGCCAATAAAGGATCAGGCTTTGGATTTATGCAGTTCTAGGACCATCTTAGCCCTTTCCCTTAGTTCTGAACCCACACATGCATCACATACTTATTGACATCAAAAGCATGTCAGAAAAACAAAAGACATATCTGAAAATAAAGTCAAAGGTTCCAAAAATTATCTAATATAACTTTCACCACTGAGGTAGGACCAGATATACCTAGATGATACTACAGGGCTGTCTCTCCTTGTACTTTAAATATTCCAGTAAAGGAAGCTTTAAAGATTTCCATTCACTTTCTTCAAGCTTTCCTTATAGATAGTTCTGAGCCTCTTACCCTTTCTTTCTTCTCTGCATTTGCTCTAATTTGTCTGCAACTCTTTTGAAGTACAGTACCAAAATTGGATATAATATCCCAAATAAGGTCTAACACAACAAAGAGGATAATTTGAAAATCCCACGCTTTACTCAAAATACTGCAGTTAATATGTGCCAGAATGAGAGCTACTTGCAACATCCCACCATCCATTTCTGTTTGACTCCCACTTCTTTTAAAATGCATTATGGCTCTTTTTGATCTACAGATCTCTAACCATTCTTCCCTCTATATATCTACTTTGTTTTATGCTTGCTCTTTGCATTGACTCTTATTAAACTGCAACTTTTCATCTTAAGTTGATTAAGATCCTTCTCCATTTTATTTATCCTCCCAAAAGTCTGAAAAACTGTCAGTCAGAATAGTATCATAAACCTACCTAAGCTTTACTGAAGACACACATTTCAAATCTGCTACTTTCCACTTCCCTATCAGTGTATTTTGTGCAGAATCCTCTCAGGGAATTCCTGTGTCCTTCTTTCCTGGCAGTACATTTGCCACTTAGATATTCTTTCTGTGCCAATAATCTTTAGTAGTTCATGGATTCATTCAAGTAATTCTTTAACTAATCTACAGAGAACTTCATCATATCTTTCTGACTTTAGCAGCTCTAGCTTATCTGTACATTATTTAATTTGTTCTTTTCTCGTGTTTCCTGTTCTCCTACTTCCTTTACAAAATTAATTCCCTTTATTTGTGAAAAAGAAGGCAGAGGCATCATCAGATGCTTCTAATTCTCTCTCTCAGAGGACTGCAATAAAACTCCGCTTTCACTTCCTATGTTGAGAACCAGCCGTTTCTCTCTGTGTTTTCAGAGGAGACTCACTGTTTCATGGGGTGTTTTGAGTAGTTAATTATACCATGAACCACAGACTGGCTGACAGCTATAATTGCTGATTATAAATTGACAAAGGAAAGGTAGTACTTTTGGATACCTCTGCTCGATCTGCTGCTGATTTTTTAACAGCAGGTCTCATAAAAGCCAGTGTGTGGGCTCCATACCTATAACAGATGCAAACAACTCTGGAGTAGAGCTTCCTGCAGCCATGAACGTGGCTCCAGCAACATCTTCACTCAGATGTAGTTTCTGGGGGGAAAAAAGAAAAATCTATTGATTATTTCAGCACTGCTACTCTAATTTACACAACACAGTTCTATCACTGCAAACATAGAAGCCCTTCATTCAAAAAAACATTTGCTGCCCACCATGCTATGAAAGGCTGAACAGTCTCTATGATATAGAAATAAATATATAGAATTTTAAGAAGGCAAATAAGATATCTATACCCTAATTCAGTGAGATGTTAGATAGTATTATTTATTTATATGTACATGATTAGCTGACTGTAGTTTAGATGGATCTGATTAGAGAAAGACATTTTTGCCAACCCTAAAAGCTTGCAAACTCATCTTGAATCATTTTCACAATTTCACTTCTGCAACTCTAAATGCAATCATAGGACTTACTATTCTTGAAGCTTCTAAAATTTCACAGTAAAAATCAATAGGAGGAAAATATAACCTCTGTGGATATATTTTATAAACAGCAGGCCTGATTCTGACCTCACTATAAGTCCACGGTGAGTCCACTGACACACACAAAGTGTGAGCAATCAGACACAGAGAGGCCTGTGCACTATAGTCGGATCTATTTTTATTACCAGGCCTCTTGAGCTCTAGTAGGATACAGGTGCCCGAGAGTGCTCGGGCCAGCACAAGCAAGTGTAGCTCCACAAGTGGGCTGCATCCATCTAGTATCGCCTGAGGAGCTTTCCCTTGAACCATAAGGAAGGTTTTATGGAGGATTTTCTTTTCCTTTTGAGAGCCTCTAGACTCATCATTAGTATCTCATCTCTCTTTCAAGGGCAGAAAATTGATTGATAGCAAAAATAGAGTATTTGTCAAGCACTACACAACATTTTTGGCTGATGAAAACAGGCATCCTAGAGACCTTGACAAAACTGAAATAAAAGCCCCTGCTCTACCATGTGATTTACTACCAGCTGCAGTGCTGAAGAGGTTAAAAACATTAAGTGTGCTAATGAACTGAATTCTTCTAAGCTGACTTAACGTTCAACAGAACACAAGACAAGAGGCAAAGATTTTTTCAAAGATCAACAGCAGTATTTTGGTAAAACTTAAATACAGTGTATAAAGTGCATGTATAAAATAGAACATCTGTAAAGGAAGAGAAAATATCCTTATGGAAAATCTAGCTGATACTCACTGCCTCCTATATTCTCTCATTTGTCTTCCTCTTGATAAGTATATAGCTCTTAATAACGTTAATAGGAATTCTCCACATATGTTCACGGAAAAACAAACCCCCCCCCCTTTTTTTTTTTACCTATCTAAAAAGTTTTTCAGATAAGCAGTTTTGCTCAAAAATGAGGGAAATGTGATTTCTACTTTGTCATAAAGAGAGAATCAAATTCTAGTTTGGTATGTAGTATCCACCTGTATTTAACCAAAGCACTCTCCATTATAGGATTTATATGCCAATAATGAATTCCCTTTCCTGATCAACTAAAGCAGAATCTGCATGTAATTTTGCAAATTCTTCTTAGAAATTATGTAAAGGAATTACATTCATTTTGAATAGCAAAAGCCTACAGTATTACAAACGGTCATGAAATGTCACAAGAGTTGATTTAAGAGGGTTTTGTACATAAAATATTCCATAACTTTAGTTATAATGCTAACAATTTCCTTTCCAAGTATTGATGTTTTATTGTCTCTATGTGGGATTTCAAATATAGTTTGTACTGCTTCTCTGTGCTATACTACAATCAGTTTTAAAACCCTCACTGACATCAGCTATGACTGATGGAAGTCAATAGTGAGCACATCAGACAGGCAAACAGTTTTGCCATCTCACTGCATTTTGGGATATGTAAATGTATTCTCATTCTGAATCAAGTCAAGATACACATTTTTCCCACCCATCTCACTTTTTCTAGGACTGCATAAACTTATTGCTGATAAATATAGATAGGCAATAAAACTTAAAAAGTCAACATATTAATTTTTCTATATATGCCACCTTTTTTTTCCTCCAAGTTTACAAGATAGAAGTGCAATAATAAACCAAATTCATCCGTATGTCATAGCCATTCTACCTATGCGCTTCAGGTATCTAAAAGTGGATTTGGCAAATGTTCTCATTAAATCTTTTTTTTTTTTTTGAACCTTGAGTGTCATCAAGAGAACCAATGTGCTCACAACACAGGGGAGTGTTTTGATGGAAAACCTAATCCATTTGAAAAAGGCTGGAATCACCAAATTCACAGGAAAGAATTCCAAACAATGATGGCATAAAATGCACAGGATTATAATATATTCTAAGCAGTTTTTAAAGATGAATTTTTAAAGGCGAACTTTTAAAGTTATTCAACATACCTCACAAATTTTCTCTAAGGATGGAACAAAAAAGTCATCACATACTATAGCCAAAGCATAGAACATGTAGAGAGCCTGTAAAGAAAATAAAGCCAGGATACTTCAGATATTTCCTCTACATAGAAAGAGGAAAGAAAGCAACACCAGATTTTTTCTAATAGTATAATGAACAGAGAATACATGGCTTCACTTTTCATCCATTCCATAAAAAATAAAAAAGTTCCTCTGCTGATCAGTTGAGGGCACAAAAAGAGATCATATGTTAGACTAAGTCTAAATTTACCACAGTTGAATAGGTCACAGACTGAATAGACTGAATAGGGGGCCATAATAGGATTCAAATATAATAAAGTAACAGGCAGGGTCTTACTGAAATGATCATCAGTTAGTTATTGGACCATGTAGTTAAGCAGAAAGCAGCACCACATTGATTAAGAATACACAAGAAATAATCACACCTGGAAATCAGCGTCCCTGAGCTCAGCTCACTGCAGCAAACCTCTGAGGGATGATGGCGGTTTCATGTACACATGTGAAAACCCGCTATTTTACGGGCCTTTATGTTCTGTGCTTGTGTAGTTGGCTTTACTAATCCTGCTGTTCTCAGCCAAACAAAACTTCTTTCTACTTTACTTTCCCAGAGCTGGGAATGGAAAACTGGAGCCTGCAGGCCTTAATTATTTTACTTTTTCTACTATAAAATGTAAAACTCCACATGACATTTTCTGTATTTCTTCAGGGTGTTTTTTTTTTTTTAATTACAATTGCTTCTTTGGCATAGAGGTGCAATCCAGATGAAAAAGCATCAAAAGAGCATGCTGTCATCCACAAAGGAATCCCAAAGCCCATATATACATGTTGAAATGCAAATACATACAAATCAGTGACAGAAATCCTTTTGGTATCCACAGGGACAAGATTTTATCTCCAGGATGATGAATGCATAAGCATTTCAAATCCAGACTAACAAGATCATTTTTAAAAAAAATGTTACCTTTTGAGCATTTGCACCCATACGGACATAGCACAAATATGAAATCAAACTATTAGAAACATGTTTATACAGTCACAGATCTATTTAGTAAAGGCACTAAGATGAGTAACCTCTTACAGTCAATGAACAAAAAATAAAAACGAAGTATGGTAGAGGAAAACTTACAGCCAAGATATGAAGTAGAACCCCTCCTTGCTGCCGTTCTTTATTTGTAAATACATCTTGAGGAAATTCATTAATTGCTGAAAGAGAAAAAATAGATATATTTTTATTTTCTACAGAACCTATAAATGGCAGAGTGAAAAACATGTATGTCTCTGTAGAAAATATATGATCAAATAAGAAAGTATCTTTCAAACTGGTACATCATAGACTGCCACATCATAGCTTCTTTTCTCTCCAAAGAGCAGAGAACTGGTTCTCGGGTGTTATTATCATCCTTCCCATGCCATAGACACTCAGTGATTACTGAGTTTCATATTCTTTGGTGCCTTATTTTTATTATCCTCTCCTCTAAATACACTTTGAAGTGATCAGCATGGGGATAAAATTCATGCAGAAATAATATCCCTGGCTATAAGTAAGCCTTGCCTTTGAAAAAAAAATTCAATAGTTGTAACCTTTTATTAGGTTTTGAACTGAATTTTTTTTATATGGCTCCAGTTTTGCAAATCACTTCAAAAAGATTAAAGCAATGCCAAGGATTTTCTCAGACAGGAAAGTTTTGCAGAGTTCATTTAAAGGACCTGTGTTCCACACAGACCGTGAAAAAGGGATTCCAGATGGTGGAGACAAAGACAGCAACTCAGTCCATCGCGGGACTAGAGAAAGGTAAGAGATAAAGAGCTCACAGGGTGACAAAACAGGCAGGAATAGAGATCTCCAGTGCCTCAGGCAGGAGCCTGGGAAGTTGAAGGGTGAAAATTTTTTCAGTCACTGAAATCCATTCTGTTGAAGTTGTGAAATGATGATTTAGGACTACGTGTTGGTTTCAGCAAATGGATGTACATATAGACTGACACCAAGATAAACTCCAAAACGTTCTTTGAGCTGAACCACGACATACTGAAACTGACACAGACGACTGTATGATCATCTTCCTGCTATTCAAGTCTGATAGGTTCAGAAATGCCAAAAATAGCCTAAAGAATAGGATATGACATTTATGTTCATTCATTTTTATTTCAATTATCTTATTTTCTCAATCCCCAGTATAATTTTGAAAACAATAAACGTGAACATAGAGACCAAGAATTCAACACATGGCTGATGAATTTAGTTATCAAACTCAAAACACATAGCCTAATTTTCAGCAAGTATTGCACTATGACCATTCGAAGATTACATTTTTCAGAGGGTCTTAAATCTGAGCTACCTGCAATCACCAAACCCACTTGAAAATTTTGGCTGAGGTGAGATCTGAATTATCTGCAATCTCTTCAATCCTTGAGATTCATATAAGCGCAAAAATACCTTGTCCATTCTCACTTGTATTATGCACATCTCCATGACCAGTATGTCTAGCTTGACTCAGACTGGAGCAGTGACTCTATGCAAAGATGAAGATTTTGAGCTCTCTGTCATCATAGTAGTACCCACTACCACAGAAGGTATTATTTTTGAATGCAAACATTGGCAGCAGGTTGGGTTTAAAATTTTACACATAAATCTCATCTGCCTTATATAAACGCCGTAAACCTTCCAAGCTAATATTTGAAAACTATTATAGTTAATGGTCTATAAAACATTTATCATAAAACAAAAGTTTAACAAGAGTGACTTACTGCAATGCTTGCACTGCTTTTCATTAGGCTGTAAAAGTCCTGGTCTTACTGTTAAAGTCTCACTAGAATCAACACTTAGTATGTTGAACAGAGCTTTCCCAAAATCAAGATGCAGCTTTTCTTCCAAGCCTTTCCTTTATGAATGTATGAAAACTACATACAATTTTTTGTTCAGATATTTCTGAATGTGATTTCCTACTCCTAGAAAAATGTTCTATCCCGGTCATCCTCTGCTCTCACTTAGCAAATGAAACACACAAATCCATCAGCACAACTGCACAGTGATACTCAATCACCCTCTGAATTGCAGAATATCCTTCAAAGGTTTGGAGTGTACGTTAGTGCCTGGAGATCTCCAGCACACCAGGCTTTGGCAGAACTAGCTTCAAGAAAGTGCATCTGGGTTGGGACAAAACCCCATGGACATCAAGGCTATGCAAAGCGGGGATGAGAGCAGAGTTTGCTGACTGCATCTACACTGTAAACTCATTGTGGCCTTAAAAAACAGCCTGAGGAAACAGCATTGCTATATGAATGCAAACCACACAGAAAAATAAAAATAAAATATTTTGTGAGTTTAACAATGCCCTCCCTTCTGAAGTGGTAAGGGGGAAAAGCACCATTAAGTGCTAGCACTGAAGAAATCCCTTATCTTCATTTACATATATTTGCCTACTGATCCAAACAGAACCTTCTAAAAGCAAAATAGGAGAACAAATCTCCTTCCTCTGTATTTTTTTTTTTTACCACTGCTTCCTCAAACAAGGAAAAGGATAGTGGAAATAAGCATCTCTGGGGGAAAACAGGTTGCACTGCAGCTTAAGACATTTACTGTAAAATACTATAAAAAAAGTTAAAAGGACACTGCGTTATACTGCAGGATAATCCACACACTATTTGTTAAGATGCAGCAATCTGGAATGCTTTTATCATGCAGATACACTCTCCAAGATGCACTTATATATGTGACAGCCAAGTAGATTTCCTGAATAAGGACTATTTTCCTTAGCACTATAACCCTATATTTATATTCTGCTAAACAAATATATTTATATTCTGCTGAACAAATACAAACTAGTGTCATTCTCCCCTGTGGCAAGCAGGGAAAAATACTCTTCTGGAACCATATTGCAGTACTATCAACATCCAAACTTCTAGTCAAGTCTGCTATCTGCCAAAAGCAAAATTTCCCAGGGAAATTATTGCCTAACAGGAAATAAATATGGGAAAAAAATCAGTATCCAAAGTATGTGATTTCAAATAAACAACTGCCTGTGAATTATTATTAACTAAAATAAATTAATTAATATTAACTAAAATTATGAACAACTAGAAACATTTAAAAGGCTTCTTATTGGAGGAAAAGACTTGGACCTACAGCTGTGGGCATTCTACATAACATGGTTGTTCCTGCATCACTGGCTAAAATACCATGCCTAGCACAGCTGCATATAGAAAATGTATTTGTGGCATGACTTTTTTAACCACATTGATCACTTGTTCTCTGTCTCCTCCATTCAAACTACTGTGAGAATACATGGATTTCAGCAGTGCTCCAGGAGCGGTGAGACCAGAGCCTGGGCCTCAATCTCTAGCAAGGGTAATGTGGTCACATTATATATATACATATTTATATATATGTATATGCCCCTGTATAGGGGACACATAATTCCATACAATCAGACGTGGATGCTTATGCCCCTTCTCACAGGTGCTCATGCCAGGGGCACCTTCCCTTTCACCACGGAGCAGAAAGACCTTGTCCCTGTCCCATGACATGACAGAAGGAGGGCTGTTACCTAGCTGGCAGTCTCATTCAGTTGGTTGCAAACTACTTCACAGTAAAACATTAAAAAAGCTTGACTCAGTGTAAGTTAAAGCTGCAAGAAATAGAATGAAATTTAGGAACATTAGATTTCTAATAGACATCTCCTTATTCCAAGGTAATATGAAATAGGAAATTAGAAGACCAGCAGGTGTCAGAAATAAGAGACAGAAACAGAAGAGAGATATGAGCTAGGATTTTGAATTACCAAAGAAAAACAAGCCAGGTTCACTGGCAAACCAACTTGCTTCATACATGGCAGAGCAGCAAAATAACTACTCATAATAAATATTTACTTGCCTCACATGGATAACTTTATGTGAATTAACATTAAGATAGCTTTTCATAAAGATGATGCTCCTCTCCGCACAGCACTCGCACCATGTTTACATCTACAGATAGGACAAAACGGTCTTTACATGTCAGGGAAATAAAACAGGTCTGTGGACTTTGGTAAAACTAATTTCCTCTCTAATAAAACGGCTAATTAACAGTTCCAAGGTAACATTTTTCAGTATAAACATTTACTTTCTTTTACAGTTTATTGTCTAGATAATCATGTGTATTGTGTAGCTGTCACCTATAAATTCTGTATGCCTTATCTTTACTGCTCTGGCACTGTTCTTTATCTGTTGTGGGCACTGTGTTTTGGGGATCTGAGACAAAGCTTGCTTCTCCTGCCTATTGCTGTGAGACTCTGGTTGCTCAAGCAGGGCCTCCTTGCGTTCTCTCTGCTCCTCACTGAGGCCTGGGAATCAACTTCACTTAAGGCAGGAGCTGGTGGATGCCCTGCTGGGCGTAAACAGGCCAGGGAAGCAGCTGTTACCACAGGGCTCGCGCGGGTGTTCGAGTGCACGGAGCTCCGTCTCCCAAAGAGGAGAAAACATCGAGGCCGCAGCCCAAGCAGGAGCTGCAGCTCCTGGGCTTCCGCTGAACAGAGACAGAACAGATGGGAGGAGGAGACGAAGTGGAGAACAGCACATCTAATGGGGCTAACCTTTGCCAAAAAACAAAGAGGGGAATACCACCAATCATCTTAAAATCAGCAATACAGAAATATTTACCCTGCTGGTACTGTTGCAAGGCCATGATTGCTGCAGCACAGATCTACTAAGGGGGAGAGAGGGCATGCCAGCAGCCTGGTCTATATTGGAACTGCTTGTTCCCTGCAGCATGTCCCCACATAGGGCTCAAGGGGGAAGCCAAGGCAGCTTATCTAGCTGGGAATTGGCAGGGACACCCTGGGGACACCACTGCCTGTATGTCTGAGCTATGGCATTACTAAAAAAAATTCCTTGATCATGCCATGACAGAGGGGTTGATTCACCTTTGAAATAAAGCTCTGGCTGAGCTGCCCGCGACAAAAATAACCATGGAACATCCAAGTAGCACGGCCAAGTGCCGAACATAATAGGAGCTGCAGAGCTTAAGCCCTTTGCATGGCTTTGGAGCGAAAATTTGGCACCCAGCAGCCAGGGTGAACCCAGACAGGCTCCTGACACCTGCCTGTACTTAGGCTGCTACCCGATTACTGCTGGGTACCACGCGAGCGCTGCTCCCAAATGCCCTGTCCATCCTGCGGCAGGCGGCCGGCCAGAGAAATAAGTTTCGAAATCTCCTAAGCCTGATAGAA